TGTGATTTTGAAAAATGCTGGATTAGCAGTCAGTGCCTCCAGTTTAGAGTTTGTAGCTTTTTGAGGCTTTGTTTTAAGGATGAGTCAAATTGAAGCTTTTTTTAATTAGGCCTCAATTCAATTCAATTCAATTTTATTTATATAGCGCCACATCACAACGACAGTCGTCTCACAGCGCTTTCCAAACAGAGCAGCTCAGACCCTACTCTGAAGATAACTACAGAAACCCAACAATTCCCACCGTGAGCAAGCACTAGGCGACACAGGCAAGGAAAAACTTCCTTTTAACAGGCAGGAACCTGGAGCAGAACCATGGCTCAGGGTGGGCGGCCATCTGCCTCGGCCGGTTGGGGGTGAGGGGAAAGAGAGGGCCCTCTCAATCTGTGACGCCTAGTTTGTGTTTGACTACTGGAAGGAAAACTAGAGGATTAATTTACCACAGTTTTCCCTTTGTTCAAAGTGAACCGATCATTATTGTGTGCCTGACTTTTCACAGATGTTAAACAGATGTGCAGTGCAGGTAGTTTGAACGGCATGGAGCTCAATTAACAGCTTCATTTGAAACTGCAAAAGAATTCAAATTGGAAAAAAAAATTAGCTGTCATCATTTGAGCTTCACAGACCGGTGGTTTGTAATTACTAATGTATCTGTAGCTCATGTTATAAAGTACATCACTGATGTATAACACTAATTGTGACATAGCAATAATCTGACTTTGTGTGATTTTGAAAAATGCTGGATTAGCAGTCAGTGCCTCCAGTTTAAAGGTTGTATCTTTTTGAGGCTTTGTTTTTAAGGTGAGTCAAATAGAAGCTTTTTTTTTTTATTAGGCCTAAATATGTCAGGCCTAGTTTGTGTTTGACTACTTGAAGGAAACCTGGGGGGGTAATTTAATACAGTTTTCCCTTTGTTCAAAGTGAACTGATCATTAATGTGTCCCTGCCCTTTCACAGATGTTTAACAGATGTGCTGTGCAGGTAGTTTAAACAGGATGGAGCTCAATTAACAGCTTCATTTGGAACTGCAAAAAAATTCAAATTGAAAAAAAGATTAGCCGTCATCATTTGAGCTTCACAGACCGGTGGTTTGTAATTACTAATATATTTGTAGCTCGTGTTATAAAGTACATCACTGATGTATAACACTGATTGTGACATACCAATAATTCAAATTCAAACACCCGTGTACACACAAATAAAACTAAACACCATTCAAAATGTACATTTTTTTAATTAGCAGTCTTAATATAGGTTACATTTTAAATATTACACCAGGGGACGATCATGCACCAACTGAGACGAGATTGACAACCGTGAGCAGAGTTTATTTCTTCATCCATTCCTCCTTTTCTTTCCTCTCACGGATCACTTCATCCAGATAAGGTGACAGGTAATGAATATCCTGAGAAAACATTAAAAAATATACACACACAAGAGTAATGAAAGTGTCAGCTATGTAAAAATATTCCCAGATTTTCCACGAAAATACTCTGGGATCTTTTTCTTTGAAGACAGCTCCAAACATTTGGGGGAAAAGAACATAAAACCAACATCACAGATCTTTGAAAAGCACCAGTCATTCGTTACACAACTATTAGCTCACATAAACGCCGCCTTCCTCTTGTGAACGCACCTCTTCGTATTTTGTCCACAGGTCTTTTGGGAGAACCTGCTGCTTCATAGAGAGATCCAGGGCCCTCTTAATCCTGAACATCCTGTCGTTGTAAATGCCCTCCGGAAGCCTCCTCAGGGCCTCCTTCACATCCGAATCCTCGTAGATTGTGTCATCACGCATCAAGCCTACGAGAGATGTGTGGCGAGTTTTATAGAAGAATTTCAGACGATTTTTTATATTGAAAATAACAAAAACCTCGAATTGAGACCATTTTATTCTTTGAGAAAATTACAATTGTCGACATGGAGTTTCTTAAAACCCAAGATTAAACTGCTTTAATCCTGGTTTATTTTGGTCTTTCACTTAATTCATCTGTGAAGGAATTGCTGCTACAAACAGGCAAGTATCTAAAGCTGGAGACTGTAATTCATGTCTACAGTTTAACTGTAGGCCGGGGTAGTAACCTGTATATAAGGGTCTATTTTTGTCTTAAACGTAAAGCTTCAAACCTGATCCTACCTCATCTTTCCTTTAGATTATCTCAACATGTTACGTCCAATTTCTTTCAGGCAGCTAATCTAGTTTTGCTTTGGATGGATCTTATTTGTGTCCTTGTCATTTTATCTTCCGTTCTGATTTCCTGCTCAGTGACATGTACTGTAGCTATGAATAATAGTGATTTGACTTACCAAGTTTGTTGAAGCCACACATGTTATAGTACCATTTACGGAAACCAAGCATAAGCCTGCCGGTCGCCACTGCAAACAAGAGAGGAGAAAATACTCACAACTGTAATTTATTTAATCATTTTCGCAAATAATTATGAATGGAGGTATTAGTCATGTCAGTAAAGCAATATAAGAGTAGACGTTTTCACACCATGAATCTCTTCGATGGCCAAATATTTCACATACTATAAAGACATAGTCCTTATTCAAGGACAGGTTGATCTACGATATCAAACGACACCTTAAATCCTAAATTAAATAGATGCTTCCGCTCAGGAAAACTGATTAATACAAGGTTAGTTTAAGATAGATGACAACCTGCTTATGTATCATTTAATTTCAGCATATTAACATTCACAAAGATTTAGCAAACCTTAAATACGCCCTATTGTGTTTTTTATCAAGTGTCTTTGCCTTAAAACTGTCACCGCTAGTAAATGCTAAGCTAATGCTAGCGCTACAGCCCCCATTAGCTTCGGTTAGCATGGGGACGTTAGAGGACAAACACAAGTCAAATTCACACAGAGCCGCTTTTTGACAAAATAATGAATCTATCTCAAACCCATGTGTTATAATGTAGCGTGGATATAGCCATTTATGTAGAATGAGATGTTAAAGGAGCGAAAAATAGATTAAAACCAAACAAGCGACATTCACTTACCGGGTGCTCTTGACGCCATGTTTAACACTAAGAACGAGCGCGGTGCATTGTGGGTAAAAGTTGTCTCAGGTCATTGAGCAATATTAGAATTACGAAAGATCTGGAAGGAAAAGGATGAAACGGAGAAATGAATTAAATTACTCTCTTGGATTTGTGGGTGTTTCTGTAGGTTATTATTAAAACATGACAACTATATTAACAGTTTGCAAAAATAATTTAGATAGATGTTATTTTCATTCAATGACACAAATAAAAATGGGAAATTTGCCTTAGAAATATTAAATGCATTAAATTAAAACAAAAGAAAAATTATTTGAAAAAAAGTAAAAAACAAAAGCAATGCAAGACTTAACATGTTGTTTATTGTGTATCATTTTTATTTAAACGGTTTGAAGTGTTTTTAAGCTGCTTTGTGTGACATTTAAAGCACATGGCTTTAATCAGGCGTCGTACTTAGTTTATTCTGCAGGTCCAAACAAACACTCACTATTCAAGAAACAGTGTTGCAGTATTACAACAAAATAATGTGGAGGTGTGAAAAAAATTAGGGTTAATGTACTGGTTACATCCAACCACAGACCAGGGAAATTGTGTTTTTTAATACAACATTGGCCCGTCAGTTGAAAGAAAGGATGTGACAGTATGAACAGAAATTAAATATACAGTCCTGTTAAATGAAGGCAATATTTCAAGCACAAGAAATGGCAAACTTGATATGTTATTCAAATATCTTATTTACAAAACATTTGATTTAAATCTTTATTGATGCTCTGTATGTTTACGTCCTTCTTTCTGCATGAGGAAATTTATTTTGCGCACTGCACCAATCATGTCCTTTTTCATGTCTACTCCAGAAGAATTAAAGAGTCTTTTGGAACAAATAAAAATCTTCCAGTGTTGCTGAAGCCAAATCACTGCAAAAAGGTTCATCTGGCAAGGACACCAGGCGATCCAGGGAGATGTAGCCGGGCAGGGTTGGGTCATATTGAGCCTTTCCAAGATACTCCAGGAAGAGGTGGCGCTCTCTAAGACGCAGGTACTTTGTATTGAGTACCTACATGGGAACATATCAGAAGATTAATATATCACTGTTTTTAAATGTTTATATGCCTATAAATCGGTGATAAAAGATCTCTAACAGAAAGCAAGACCACCCACCTGTGGGAACTTTGCAATCAGGTAGTGGGGCACCTTCATGTTGTTGTGGAGGAAGTCAAAAATCTGTGTTAGTTTCCTTTTATTGGCGGTCAACACCTTTGGAACAGCAATGACGATGTGTTGGATCTCATTTCCCTTGAAGCCAAGCTCTATTTCGCACACCTGTAGAACACATTTTCAAAAATATTCAGTATTGCATCTCCAGGTCACATCCACTTCTATTCATGCTGTGAGTCAATACCTTTAAGTTTTCTTTGACAGGCTCCAAGCTGCCGCACAGCAATCTGGGAAGCCGAGCTACGAGACTCCGTGTCTATCGAGAGACAAACATCATACAGTTGTTCCTAAAGGATTCCCTTTAATTCAGTTAGATACAGACCGGTCACTTACGTTTGAAGCACTGAGCTTAATTTGCTCTTGATAGAAACCTAGTCGGTTGTCCAGCCTCTTTACACTAAAGTTGAGGAGATAAGGTGCTCTGGACACCATGGATGCAACAGTCTCTGAGGAGAACTTCCTTGACTTCAGAAAGTTGACCCTTTTTAAAAAAATAAATAAACAAAAAAGACAGAGTAAACATTAAGACAGTCTCATTGCCAATATGGCTTAAGAGAAGCTGACATGAAGTATGGTGGAAAATGTTATGGCATGTTTCCTACATCCCGGTAGGTTACCTGGCTTGTAGGTTTTCCAAATTCTCAGTGAGAATAAATGGATTGTGGGTAATAATGTAACCAAAACGTGAATCCTCCACTCCAATCTCTTTGAGAAACAGCAGCCGGGGTACAATATCTGCCTTGAAGTCGAGTCTCAGGAGCATGGAGCCCACATTAGGCCTCTGTTCCAGTTTCCACAGATTCACCCCTATAATAACAGGACGATGTTGGAAAATGTTGATACCATAAAAGCACTTTAGCTCCCTAAATATATGACCAGCTCACAGATCTAACAGGAGCTCAAAAGTTCAGATGTAAATATAATAATACATAATATACATATAATACATTTTTAAAAATCACAACAGTTAAATTACCTAGCTGCACCAGTTTGGTAAGAGTCTCGGACTTGTCAACATAATCCCTTAGAGAGCTGGAAACTGGGGGAATAGAAGGAAGAGAAATACCGACTGCCTCCTCATCACTGATCTCCTCCAATGCTGAGTATTCACCGGCAGGTTCCAAGTCTGCTTAAGGAATAAAAACAAGAGATGGAGAGAGTTAAACACCTATTTGACTAAATTCATTTAATCAGTAAATCCGCTTTAGACCATGACGTTTTATCAAAATGTTATATGATGACAAAGATAATGGAAATATCCACCTAATGGTAACTGATTTTGTGTTACAGGTAGGACATCTGATGTTGGCACTAGGGGGGTGCTGTATGGGAAAATGTCCGTTCCTGACAGCTCTTCATTATATTTTTTTTCTTTAGCATCTGTTGACAGATACTGTGCTGTCAAGTCCTTGCAGTAGCAGGTCTGTTGTTTCCACCTCAGGTTTGTCCGATTCAATAAGCGATTCCCAAAGATGGATCCATTACAGACTTTGGAAAAACCCCTAACTATAACACTACAGTGTTGAACTTGAGCGTAATGCTGCAAAGCCCTGGAGCCCAGGAGACCTCTGCATCGCAGACACAACTGTGCAAAGGAAGAGGCCATGGGGATTCTGTAGGAAATGAAGATGACATGTTTGAGAATCATTCACTTCAATGCAAGAAATACTCTTTAACTCTAGCTAGACTGGATGGAACACGTTTTTTAAAATTGTTTTACACATCTTACGGTTAATACTGCTGTTCAAGTGCACAATAGTGTTAAATGATTGTTTTATATTTAGATAAATACAATCCAACTGTTTTACCTTTATATTTTTGCCCCCCTGTTGTCCTATCAGTAGCTAGCTTGACCCAGATTCACTAATGCTAACATGCTAGCACAACAACAACTCCCCATAGAAACCAACCGTTCAAATTGACAGTGAACTAGCCAAAGCTAACATGAAGAGTCAGTCATTTTAAGTTACTCACTAGTCAAACACAAATCCCTTGTCTTTAAATCGCTGCCATGACGGACCTAAACGCAGCACCATGTCTACTAATTTCACGTGCACATTAACGGAAGACCTCCTTGGAAACGTCATATTATGGAATGTACCAAAGCGATGTCTTTATTGGTTTTATTGATATCAGTTTTCTATGATGACGAAATTTTCTTGATCCAAAATATTAAAGTTAAATTATAGCTAAATCTAATTTGTCACAGTGTAGTTAATTTTGTTTTGGTGGAAAATAAAATGCTCACCGTCGACGGAAACACCCCTGGAACTGCAGTGGTTCAGTCCGTCTTCGGGGTTCCTGTATAGGGAGATGAGCTGTTTGCATCAATTCTTCAACATTTAGCTTCAGCTTAGAATAGTTAATGTCGTGAGGTTTCCAAAGTTGGTCAAACCATCGACATGGCGGCTTCTGAGGGTCCCAGTTCACCTCGGAAGGATGATGCCACTTATAAGTTACATTTCAGAAGAATTAACGAGCAACAAGTGGAGGAAATCTGTCTTGACTTCTTCTACAGACCTCATACTATCACTCTGCTGACAGCCACGGTGCTCAGTCTTATGTACTTTGCGTTCACCAGGTACGTTTTAGCGTCTGTTTTACGTGTTAAATGAGTAATGTTAGTTTTAATGCTTCTATTCGTTCTGTCTTTAGTAAAGAAGTTTAATTGTTTTCTCGCAGGAATGATGAACACTCAGACAATAACCTCCGAGTTGGGCTGTTGGTGGTTGTCTCCTTTTTCCTGGTCATCAGTATCCTGGCTTTTCCTAATGGTGAGCTATGTCATCATTTATCTTGTTTTCATTAATAAATTATGTGTAATTTAGTCCCACAGAGGGTCAGCATGGCTAATCTGTCAATTTTAAAATATGCTTTATTTTGTTTTTGTTTTTTAAAAACCTTTTTATAGTCTCAATGAGACTTTTATCATGGTCATTTACAAGGTATTTATAGGATTTTTTTTCTGTTCGTAGGACCCTTTACAAGGCCGCATCCTGCAATCTGGCGAATGGTGTTCGGTAGGTGGTCAGAGTGGCTTAAAACTGAGTTTGCATGTCTCTTAATTCTCACCGGGCCCCCCTATGTTCTGCAGGTCTCAGTGTGCTCTACTTCCTGTTTCTGGTCTTTCTCATCTTCCTCAACCGGGACCAAGTTCAAACTCTCATGTACTGGCTCGACCCAAATCTGCGCTACGCCAAACGAGAAGCTGATATCATGGTAGGAATGGTTGGAAAGTTCGGCTTTTTGAACTTACCCTTATTTTAAATGCATGATATTCTGGATCATATTTGATTTTAGTCCTGTTGTAGATAATTTAACATACATGGTGGAGATTCCCAACAAAGCAACAGCCAGTTTTTCGCTAGCTTTGAAATAATATCTTGCCTACAGAGGCCCCTTGCACCAGTTTTGAACAGCAAAATATGTATTTTATGATAACCTTTTTGGGATCGTGGAAATATTTGTTTTGTTACTAGTTTTTTCTTCTAACTTTGTTCTGTTCTCCAGGAGTACGCTGTGAACTGTACGGTGATAACTGGGGACCGCATCCTGAGCCACTTCGACATCTTTGCCTTCGGCCATTTTGCAGGCTGGACCATGAAGGCCATGCTGATCCGCAGCTACGGCCTTTGCTGGACCATCAGCATCACCTGGGAACTCACCGAGGTGACGCCTGGCCTCATGTCTACATTTAAAGACTCAACAATTTTTAATCTTACTGATTTTTTCCCAATAGTTTGAAAGACTGTTTACATATACAATAACAGGAGCTGTAGATTCTACTACTTAGCTGCTGAATTGTCTGTGATATTTAGTTTTAGAGTTATTTGCCTATTCAAATTAACCAGTATTTTCTTTCATGAGATAGATAGATAGATAGATAGATAGATAGATAGATAGATAGATAGATAGATAGATAGATAGATAGATAGATAGATAGATAGATAGATAGATAGCAGTTTGGTTGTAGGATACAGTATCTACTAGTTAAACAAATAATAATGTGCAGGTCTGTGATTAGTCCAGTTTAAGTATTTTGAATACAGAAAGATACATTTCTTGTTTATAATTTATTTTTCTCCTCCCCCACTTCTTCCCAGCTTTTCTTCATGCACCTCCTGCCAAACTTTGCGGAGTGCTGGTGGGATCAGGTGATCCTGGACATACTGCTGTGCAATGGTGGAGGCATCTGGCTGGGGATGACAGTCTGCCGTTTTCTGGAGATGAGGACCTACCGTTGGGCTAGCATCAAGTCTGTGTTTTCCACAGGTTTCTTCTGTCTGACTTCACGAGTTACTGTTTTAATCAGACCAAAACCAGAGACCCAGCTCTTCCAGAGTGTCTCTGGTCCTAAAGCTCTAAAGTCTCTTATTTCCTGATGGCATGTAGCATCAATGGATGCTAGCTGTGGAACTTGTGTTCTATCTGGACGTTAAAGCCTTAATGATAGATAGATAGATAGATAGATAGATAGATAGATAGATAGATAGAT